CCTTTGAACGGGCGAGGCCGGAACTGGCTTCTCCGAGCTGGGCCCAACTGGCGTGGTGCGGCCTCTTGCGTTGTGCCGGGGCAGCGCCAGGCGGGGCCGCGTCTGTGTCCAGAAGGGCTGAGCGGCCCAACCGGCAACTGTACCGCGTGCATAGAAGCGGAGTCGCCGACAGATACGGTCAGTGACAGACTGGCCGCAGCGACGCCACATGCCCTCAAAACCCCTCCACCCCACCCCACCCCAAGAAGCAGAGTGCTGATAATTCAGTTTCCGTGCTTGTAAGCCATGGGGAGAACCGAGATTACTGCGTAGGAAGTTCGTGAAAGCCTCTCTCTCTGGTGGAAAACTCCTACGAGTACATCTCTGTTCCGCTGTGAAACTAGCATCCCTCCCTCAGGTGAAGAACCTGTGACACGGGCGGCGGGGCAGTGAGTTTCAAGGCAGCTTTTTGGCTTGGTAGGTTTCACATTGGGGGTGCTTTCACCTTTGTTGAAAGAGGCCTGCGCCATGTCACAAGTGCAACTAGCTTTTGGTCTATCTCTGTTGCGCCTTCCTTCCCTTGCAGGTTGCAGTCAAGATTGCTTGCCAGGTACTGTTTTAGAGTGATTTGGGAAATCAGTTGCTACAGATGTCTTGTGATCTCTGTTGAATTTCTCTTCTGGAGAAACTTATAGAGCTACTCAGATTAACATTAGGGATGTTCAGTTGTATCCTTTGGTATTTTACCTCTTTGTGTTCTGTCCTATGGCATATGCAGGGTTCAGAATTGGAAATCCCTCTCTGGTTGGCCAAAGGCTTGTATGACAAGCGGAGGGTTCTTTCTGTGGAGCTACCAAAGATTTACAAGGAGAGCTGGCGGACAGTGTTTAATGCTGATGCCAATGTGGTTGACCTGCATAAATTGGGGCCATACTACTATGGATTTGGGTCCCAGTTACTCAATTTTGACAGTCCTGAAAATATGGAATTAGCTCAGTCCATACTACAGGTAAAAGGTCTGCTTCTTACAGCTTCTGACACCATTGTTACTATTGTTATTATTTTTTATTAAATTTGTTATAGTCACTCACTCCAGAAGACTCTGGGTGCCTTACAAATACAAAAACAATAAAAGCAGTTAAAAACATACAACACCACAAGCAGCCAGGACTAAAACAATTAACAATAACAAGCCAAACCAGGGCCCCACAAATACATAAACCCAAGGCCTGACACCAAAGCTAGGTCTTAAAGGCTTGTTGGAACCCCAAGAGAGAATGCGCTGTCCTTATCTCTGGGGGCATGCTATTCCAGAGGGTGGGGGCCACAACAGAGAAGGCATGCTTCCTTGGACCCTCTGCCGGAAGGTACTGGGCAAGCAGAAACAATTGGAGATAGGCACACCTTCAGGTAACCACCCTGTATGCCGTACAGGACTTTATAGGTAATAATCAGCGCCTTGAATTGCACCCAGAAGCCGCCTGACAATCAGTGCAGCTTGTATAGCAGCAGTGACACATGGGCATACCAAGAAGCACCCATTACCGCTTGTGTTGCTGCATTTTGTACCAGTGGTAGCTTCCACATGGTCTTCAAGGGCAGCCCCATGTAGAGTGCATTGCAGTAATTCAGTTGTGAGGTGACCAGGACATGAGTAACTGAAGGGCCTCCTGGTCAAGTAAGGGTTGCAATTGGTGTACAAGATGACCCTGTGCAAAGGGTCTCCTGGCCACAGTTGCCACCTGCTCTTTGAGCAGTAGCTGCAAGTTCAGAAGAACCCCCAAGTTGCACACCAGTCTTGAATGGGGAACTGCTACCCATCCAAGACCAGCGATGGAAACACCCCTGACCCTGGGGGGCTAAACAGCCATTGAGGAGAAGTCTGTTCCTGTCAAGCAGCCTCAAAACACTGCATCGGTACATTGACAACATCTGCACAGCTTGGGGTGGAGATATAAAGCTGGGTATCATCAGTTGAACTGGTGGATGACCTCACCCAATGATTTCATGTAGATGTTGAACAGGAGAGGGGAGATCATTGAGCCCCATCATACCAAGCCGAATTCAGAGGCAGAACACAAATATGATTTACAACACAAGTAAGTATATGCGTCAGAGAGAAAGGAAGTGGCATTTAATGGCATTTGCTACATATTTATAACTGATTAAGAAAACAAATATTAAACTGGAAAATTAACATTTTAGCCTTCATGTTTTCAGTTGCTGTACTATAAACAGCAACTTTTTTCAGTCAGAGCAGCTGAAAAAGGCAGAAATCAAAGCATTTTTCTTTAAAAAAAGGTGTGTGGATTAAGCCATTCCAAGAATTCTGAACAAATTAGCATGAATGATAAAAATGTTTGAAATAAGCAAGATAAATAAATATTCAGCAGTGGATATCACTGAATTTGATGGAATTTATGGAAAAGTGGTTACGGGTTTATTAGATCATACAGGCAGCGTTTGTAGATACAGTTTGTATGAATTTATTTCTGCTATTCAGGATTTAAACTTTAAGAATAACAAACATAGTTTTCAAATATGTCACTAATGCTATGCCCCAAATCCTAAATTCCAATCTGCAAATATATATATATTTGAAATCTTCAAATAGTTATTATATATGCTTCTAATATTTTAAATTATTAATCAAAATAACTGTTATGAAATGATTATTATATATGCTTCTAATAGTTTATAAGCCTCTCAACAACTCTCTCTTTTGGAGGAATAAAGCAGGATTTTTTAAAAAGTTTAAATTCTACAATAGAATTTAATTAGAAACATTAGATAAATTACTACCTTAAGTTTTCTGGGTTTTTTTTAATGTGCACATTTAATTTTAATGCAAACGAATAAAACAAGTAACATTTTAAAAACAATTTAACATACATGTGTCTGTGTGTGGGGGTCCACGCTTGCTATCTCAGTCTCTTCCTCTCACTCAGTATTATATTTAAAGTTTTGCCTGATCCAATATTCTGGATTGTGGGGCCTTGATGAATTCAGATCATGCACCTATAGCACTTTCTACCTCTGTATGTACAGTAGAAGAAAAAAACAGACGTTCTGTTCTCTATTCAATTAACCTATTGCCTACCCATTCTGCACTGCACAGTAGCCTAATCTGAATGTAATTCTACATCATGGTTATATGTTATCAACCCAAGCTTAGGGTTCCTGTGCTTTCCCCTCCTCTGTATGAATGAGAAGGCCCAAAGCAATTTTCATTTTAAACACTGGACTGAAAAAATACTTCAGATATATTAGGACTTCTTGTGCAGTATAGGTTTTGTTAGGATTTTTTAATATGTAGATGATGGTTAAGTAAGAGGTTGGTTAGTGTTATGTTTTCTTACCCAAAGAAAAAGCAGTATTTTCTTTTTAAAGAACTTTTACCAGAATGTTTCTTATTGGAGGTATTAAACTGTTGTTGGGGTGTATATGTTTCTTTATTATTAAGTTGTACTACTGGGAGGTTGATATTTTTCTTATTAGATTAGTTAGACTACAAGTGCATGTTTTTTGCCCAAAAGGCATCATCATAATGGTTTTTGACAGCAGTAAGGCACTACTAACAGGAGAGAGGTAACCCCAAATATGAGCAGAAAAAAAATAGCCACAATTTTCAGTAGAGTGATACAGGAAGTCCTCAGTTTAACAGAACTTAGTGTAGCAGATTTAAATGCAATGGACGCGATCTGCTTCATCATTGTATATACGCATGTATAAAATCACCTTCCCTTTTAAAACATGAATATGTAAAATACAGATGCATAAAACCCTATTTGGATTTAACAGAAATTCTGCTTTACTGGACACACCTTTGGTGGTTATCAGGTCCAGGTTATAGAAATCTGAACAAACACAAAATGGTGGCAAAGTACTGTTTCCTTATCTCTTTGTGGCCATCTAGCAGTTGCCTAGATGACATCTTCTTTTATTAGGGCCAACCAAAATATTGTTTTAATGCCAGTTATTGTGATTTTAAAACTTTCCATTCCAGAAAGACTTTGAAGAGCTGATCCTGGGGGCGGGGGTAGGGTTGTTATTTATCAGTTCTGAGTTATTAGTGCCGATTTGGATCAAAACTGTATGATTTAGACCCTGCCCCCGAGTTAGATGCATATAATCCATGAACACTTGTGTTGTTCATTTCATTCTGGCAGTCTTTGAATGTAAAGTGTAGCACACGAACTGGGGATCTCTGACCTTCCAGCTATTGCTGTATTGCTAGGATTGTAGTTAGTGCTGTCTGGCACAGGGGTAGGCAATTTCGGGACATATTGCCTAGTCTTAAACTACTCTGCCTAGTTTTGCTGGAAATTGAAATTTGAAGACATCGGGGGGCACTGAGTTGCACAACCTTCCCATCCCCAGTTTAACAGCTATGTGATTAAAATGTAACCTGGCACATAACTGATCTTCTGCCTAGTTTTGCTGGAAATTGAAATTTGAAGACATCGGGGGGCACTGAGTTGCACAACCTTCCCATCCCCAGTTTAACAGCTATGTGATTAAAATGTAACCTGGCACATAACTGATCTTCTGCCTAGTTTTGCTGGAAATTGAAATTTGAAGACATCGGGGGGCACTGAGTTGCACAACCTTCCCATCCCCAGTTTAACAGCTATGTGATTAAAATGTAACCTGGCACATAACTGATCTTTTGTACCCTAAAATTATGCTGGTACTGTGAAGTCTGGCCACTCCATGTAGAGGAGCCCCATGATTCCATTCGTTGCAGAAGGTACCAGTCATTTCCTTTTGAGGATTCAAGCGAACCTCTTCCATTCTAAATAAATCTATTTCTGTTATTAGACGTTTATTGGCCGTTTCCGTCACATCATGGACTCTTCCCAGAATACTTTCAATGAGGACACATCTGCACTCGTGACCCGGCTGGATGAGTTGGAGCGAGCCTTATTTCAGACTGGCCAGAAGGGACTCCATGACTTCCAGTGCTGGGAAATGGGCCAGGCCGCCCAGATCACAGTATCTAGCCTGATCCAGAATTACAAAAAGAGAAAATTCACTGACATGGATAGCTGAGAGCACGAAGACCATGTGAGACTTTGTAGGAAACACTTGTGGACTTATGGTTTTGTTCAAGCACGGGGAGGAACCAATGTTCACGTTTCCAATTAAAATTATTTCCAATAGTATTTCGAAGTTGGATCCATAAGAATATTCTGGCTCTGATTGAATAGAAAAAGCAGCAGCAACTAATCGCTTTGGAAAATCAACATTTTAATTTTTCTATTTGATCTTTGTTTTAATAATTTAAAGAACTCTAGAAATGCAAGGAAAAATGAGCTTTTGTATAGCAAGTATTCTGTATCAAATACTGTAATTGAAATGTTAGCATACGCTGTAACTATGCTTTTTTCCCCCTAGTTTCCTGTTACTTACCAGTAAAGTGGCCTTTCCTAGGGCCATCAACAGGCTCAAGGAGTATAACCTGTCTCTTAGCACTTATGAAGGTGATCAGACATACAGCATTCTTGAAAGAAAGTCTTTGAGCTGCAGTTCTGTGACTAGATCCAGGGTCAAAGGACAAAGAATTCTTCCTGTTAAAGAGCTGCTTCTTGGGATATAAGATAGTTTATATTCTCTGTCAATATCATTTATTAAATTGATATGCTACCCAACTCCCAGCAACTCTGGGTGGTTTACAATTGTTAAAATTTTAAGAACAAAAATCAATACAAAACCACTCAAAAAGTAGCACAAGGCAGAACAACATGGCAAAGAAAACAAACTGGGGGGGGGGACAAAAAAGAAGAAAGGGGCGTCAGTCATCCTTGCCAAAGGCCTGGGCAGAGAGCCAGGTCTTGAAGGCTCTTTGAAATAGTGATTGGGGGGGCCATTTGAATTTTGGGGGGAACTTCATTCCAGAGGGCAGATGCTGCTACAGAGAAGATGCCCTTCCAGGCTCCCGACAGATGGCGGCGTTTAATCAATGGAACCTGGAGCGTGCCAATACCGCTAGATCAAACCAGCCAAGCAGATGCTGTGGGAGACAGGTGCTTCGTCAGGTAAGCAGGCCCTGCACCGTGCTTAGAACTGTAGAACGTTTGCTTGAGGTGGTAGATGAGGCCTGCTGTGAACATTTGTAAACTTTAGTCTGAGGCAAGGAGGCTCCTATTGTCTTCCAGATCAGAGATCACATAGTAGACCATGTGAAATTAGAAAGTAGCACAATTGTGGGGAATAATTTCTTTTTTAAGACTTGTTAAATATGAAAAAGGCAATTAAGTCTTTGTTTATTATTTATCAACCCACTCCAAAAGGCTGTAGCTTACAACATCTCATATACAATTTAAAACAATTAAAAACATAGCCACAAAGCATAGCAGCCTAGACAAAAATAGCCATACAGTAATTAAAAAAAAACGGGCTCCACTAACACATTCACCCCAGGCCTGGGATGCTGAATGCATATTATATCTAGAGACACAGTTTTACTTGTTGGAAAGAAAACAAAGGTACTGTTGGTTAACAAATAGTAACCGATCCTAATTTGGGGGAGTCCAAGGAGAAATATACCATTGTGCTTGTGCATCGTATTTTAAATTTTTATGACCAAAATTACAAATACATCTTGTGTGACTGATAAAGTGTTTATGTTAATCTTTGGGTGGACCACCTCTTACCAGGGAGTATTCCTCCAATCTCTATTTTTTCTTTTCCCTTTATCTCCTGAACTTTTTGCTCCAAATAAAAATCTGGTATCTTCCTAATCTTATGGGTAATCTGCCTGCAGTGTAGTTTTTTGTCTTTCACGTTTTGTTCGCTATGTAGTATATTAACTGCGTGTAAAGGCAGAAAGTTCTCTGTCAAGACCTGTTTTCAAACTTGGACCTATCATATAATAGCTCCAGAGGAGTACAGAGATAGCTTTGAAGAAGGCATGGGGCAGCTGTTAGAACATGAATTTAGCCCAGAAAGCCAGGTAGGGTGAGGAAGAAACTCAAGATTATCCCACTATGACTCTGGTATAAGAGAAAAGGAGAGGGAAACTTGTCAGGCTTCCAAGATTCAGTTATCCATTATAGGAGAGTTCCTGGGGTGTTTATTTGCTGACCTGGCCTACCTCAAATGATATTTACAGTTCTTAAAGCAGGTCATGCTGTTTTCATTGGGTACGCAGATAGGCATCCCCTATTCAGATGGTATGTTTTGATTAATTCTTAAGTGAACAGAAGCTGAAGGAACCTCTCTGCAGTGCAAAGTTAAAAATGATGCATTTCTGCAAACCTACTATTTATACATAATTCTTTACAGATTCAGAATGAGAAAGCAGGAGCTATAGCAAGCTCAAAAGCCTGGGCTACCTCTCAGTCATTCCTCTGGCAAAGCTTCCAAATGCTTCCTCCTTGCAGAATTACGTTCCTAGCACTTCTAACCATTCCTTGTCGGGTTTTCTTTCCTGGCCTCTTACCGTGTTGGTTGCCTTCTGCTCCAGTCCGTCAGCGTCCTTCCTAAAATTAAATGGTCAGAACTGGATGCAGTATTCTGGTTCCAGCCGAGGCACATCTTATGCTGCTCAGCTCAGCTCAGCGCCCAGGACGCCCTCCCCCAAGAGGAAACCGTTGAAAGCTTGCATGGAAGACCTCTATGAGGCCCCCTTGGGAGGAGTCAGAGCCCCAAAACAAAACG